CGAATTTGTTGGTTATTTGGCATTTCGGATTTCTGAGGAATAAAAAATCTATTTTCCGGGAAATGACCATTATATTTCCATTTATTTCGCTTCATTTGAGAAGAATTGAACATTAAGTTGCGGATACTCCTTTCGCATGATATTGTAAAATTAGTTTAAAACAATATTTTTAAAATTTGTTTATATATAATAGCTTATTATCCCTGGGGTCCTACTGTTGTGTTTTCATAATTTTCCATTTTTTCTTCAACAAAAATATTTTCTTTTTAATTTTTTTGTTCTCAAAAATCTGTGCAATGTTGAAAAATACGTGTCAAAAATAAATCAACATTTATTTTTAGTTTTCTAACTCAGAGCCGTACCGACGAACCGTCGTCGACACAAATATACACGAACAACAATCGTGTGGGTTTTTTTCTCACAGGGAGAATAAATCGGGAAGAGAAATTTAGTGAGAGAGAGTCCAAAGACGAGACAATAGTTGGGGAGAAATCAAAATGAAAAACGGTACAGTGTAGGAATTTTTGAATAAAAAATTCAACTTTTAATTAAAGGAAAAAAAAAATATTTTCGAACAGAATTGTTTTACATAAAATTATTAATATTGGTCCACTTTTTGATATTTTGAATTTTTCAATCAATTTATTTTTTTTTTTTTTTAATTGAAATTGGGTTGAAATATATACCTACAAAAAATAATCTGTATAGTAAATCTGTATATGTAAATAGTCTGTATCTGCAATATATATATATATATATATGTATATATATGTACTAATAAAAGAGTAAAGTGATTGACTGACTGACGGATTTAACGATTCATCAACGCCCAGACGAAACGATTGAAGCTAGAATCTTGAAATTTTGGGTGAGGGTCACTCTTGGTCCCAAGGTGACAGATAAGGCTGGGTTTTTGGAAATTCGTACTAGAACGGTACGAAAAGTACTAAATGTGAAAACATTTGTATTTGGCGAACCGGTGGAGCTAGAACTCTTAAATTTTAAATATGTGATAAGTATACTATAAGTATGTGAAAAGTACTAAAATGTACTAAATTTGGTACAATTTCGTAGCATGTGAATGGATAGAGCTAAAAACATGAAATATGTAATGCTAATTAGGGTTGAGATGTAGGGTCTATTTAAGGAGATGTGTACGAAAAGTACTACATTGTACTATATTTGGTATAAATATAATTCGGAGGTACAAATCGAGCTGGAATCCTGAAATTAACGTTACCGCCAGAGTTTAAGATTGGGATATGTACGTAGTTTTGGAAATTTTTACTAATGTGTACGAAAAATACTAAATCGTACTATAATTGGTACAATTGGGTTTGGGTGAACCGATAGAGCGGGAACAATTAAATTTGAAATCAGGATCATTGTAGGGGGTGTAGGATTAGGGTCATGATGCAGTTTAACAAATTAATACTTATGGGTACTAAATGGTACTAAATTTGTTACAATTTGAATTTTAGGTGAATCAATAGAGCTAGAATCATGAAACTTGGAGTCAGGTTCACTGTTGAGGTGTAAAATTGAAATATGTAGGAAGTTTTAGAATTTGTACTAAATTTGGTACAATTTAAATTATGGGTGAAGCGATAGAGTTGAAATCATGACATTTTGATTTAGAATCACTGTGGAGGTATAGGATTGGGGTATGTAGGAAGTTTTGGTAATTTGTACTACTGTGTACTTAATTTGGTACAATTTGAATTGTGGGTGAACCGATAGTGTTGGAATCCAGAAATTTGGATTTATGATCACTGTGAGGCTGTTGGTTTGGGGTAAGAAGGAGGTTTTGGAAATTCGTACTACTGTGTACTTAATTTCGTACAATTTGAATTTGGGTGAACCGATAGCGTTGGAATCCTGAAACTTGGATTTAGGATCACTGTGGGGGTGTTGGTTTGGGTTAAGTTGGCAGTTTTTAAAATTCGTACTACTGTGTACAATTTGAATTGTGGTTGAACCGATATAGTTGGAATTCTGAAACTTAGACTTAGGATCACTGTGGGGGTGCTGGTTTAGGCTACTGTGTACTAAATTTGATACAATTTGAATTGTGGTTCAGCCGATTAAGTCGGAATCTTGAAACTTGGATTTAGGATCACTGTGGGAGCGTATGTTTGGGGTAGGAAGGAGGTTTTGGAAATAAGTACTACTGTGTACTAAATTTGGTACAATTTGAATTGTGGGTGAACCAATAGTGTTGGAATCTTGAAATTTGGATTTTTGGATCAGTGTCGGGAGGTAGGTTTGTGTACTACTGTGTACTAAATTTGTACTACTGTGTACTAAATTTGGTATAATTTTAATTGTGGGTGAAGCAATAGAGTTGGGATCCTGGATCGGCGTATACAGGAAGTTTTGTTAGATGGTTGAGGAGGGTACATATGGAAATAATGTGTTCTAAATCGAAAATTTGGGTTTGTGTGAACCTTTAGAGCTCGAATCATGAAATTTGGTACTAAATGGTACTCAAATTTATGTTCGATATTAATGTGTGGATTGTTCTTTCTGACATATGCAGTTTTCTGTGAAAAAATAAGTTAATACATGTTTAAATATTTTCTACTTTTGCTAACGAAGATGCGAGCATATGCTAGTATATATATATATATATATATATTATTGATCAGAATATAATTCTATGTCGATTTACGCATTTCAGTCTGACTGTTGAAATTGCAATATTTTAGATACAATTCTAAAATTTTGCACAGACATTGCTAGTACTCCTAGAATGTTTGGTATTGTAAATGGGTTATATCGTTTTGGTGGACCCGCAATATACGATATTTTTGGGGGATTTTTGACACGTTTTCCAATTCAGTGTTATGAGCCCAATATTCGGTATTTGGGATATATTTTTCCACCGAATTGGCTGTAATTTGGTATTTTGGGTTTTAATTTAATAACACATATCCAAACCAAAACTTATTTATTTGTATTACATTTTCTATTTTATAATAAACATTCTGTGACATGTACTTTTAGTGGTATAAATTAAAAATTAATATATTTTTTCAAAACAAAAATTTTCCAATTGTCCCCCATTATGATATTTTCTTTGCCCCTCAACCATCCATAAAAAAACACACATTTCCATTACCCTCCCCTTGTCATAATGCCAATGATGAGCAAAGATTTTCACACTACACACCAAACTATATTCCCTCCTCAGAGATGATGAGGAAAATTTTGACAAAAATATCCTAACGAGCAGCAGCACGACATGACACGAAGATTAACGAACCTGTTGCTCTCTGTGTGCCACAGCACACACGAACTTGTCGAACGAATCTCTGCGCTGAGCTATATGAAGATTGGTAAAACATTTTTGTGGCATTCTTCGCTCGCACCTCAAAAACGATCGACGTCTTGGTTTCAGTCTCGGGGATTATGACTTGAACCAATTCAAAGTAGCAATCAAAAGAACAAAAATACATATATCTAGAATTTTTTTAAAAAGAAGAATATATATATATAGCGATATATATAGCAAAGCAAAAAAGAAGTATACATAGAGTTTTTTTATATTCAACGAAGTTATAAATTTTTAGTGAAAACGATTTCAAGCATAAAAAGGATAACCAAAAAGTAAGGAAATTATTTGAAATTAAAGAAAGAAAAGCAAGAAAAAACGGATCTGAATTTTTGGGAAAAATGTGTTTCGTAACAATTGAACTGAACAGAACAGAATGTTGGCTTTTTCGCTGAAAATCTAAAAAAAGATTTGTGAACAAAAAAATTCTATATGTACAAAAGCAAGAAAAAAATTGGTGAAATAAAAAAAATATCAAAGAAATCCTACGGGAAAAAATAACAATAAAAATAAAAAACGGTTGAAATTTCGAGGACGGTTACGGGTTTTACGGTTAACGGTAATTTGTGAAATTTGCAAAGGATTTCTTTGAAAAAAAAAAATAAACTGTGAAAATTTACTCAAATAAACTGAATTATTATCTGCGTTAAGTTAAAGCTAAACCAGGATTAGGCTAGACTTAACGTAGATAATAGAGACAACCCAAAGTGATGAAAAATTTAAAAAAAAAGAATTGTATATATAAAAATATATATGTATCTAAGAAATGACAAAATCTGTTGAAAATAACATCATGATTCACAAGTGTTAATCATAAAATGAAATTTGAATATTTTTTTGAAATAATATAATTTGAATTCTAAATTAATGTTGATGATGATGATGATCACAATCATCCAAGAATAACGTGTACAATATCCAAAGAAGAAAATGAAATATTTTGAAATTAATTTAAAAATAGATTTTGAAAATCAAGAAGACACCATCGACCAACCAACCGTCCATTCTTCCTAGCGAGAGTGTGTATGACTCTAGCTGTGGTGCCATGAAAATAAAAACGGCCCAAGCAAAGGAAGGGGACACAAATCGAGAAAGCAACTCATTTAAAAATAGACACCAATGTATAGAGAAAAAAGCAACGAATTGAAGAAATAAAATAAACAAGAAAATTTTGTGAAAAAATATTAAGTTATTAAAATTGAAAATAAAAAAAAAATAAATGGTGGTGATGGTGGTCATCATCATTATTTTAAGATGACCATAAAATCTGTGGACCAAAAAAAAAAAAAAAACAATTTAAATTTGAAGAATATTCTGTGCAACAAATTCGATATACTTAACAAAAGTTTCAAATTTCTTAATTTAATGTTTTTCCTCTATCCCTCTTTCCCTTATTTTTTTTCTAATCAATTTTTAGCACTTTTAAACGAAGCAGAATTGAAAAAAATTATAAATAAGAAAAAGTGTAGCAAACAAAATTAAAAAAAAAAACACGGTCATTTATTTTGTGCAAATAAAATAAGAAGCAATTATTTCAAATCATATCCAACAAAAAGATTTTAAAAACGACCGTAACGAATAAAACCCTAGAAGCTACACTGCCGCTGCAGCCAAAGAAATATCACTGAAAAAAATCGTAGAGAACAAAAAGAAAGAACAACAAGTGCAGTACTCAACAACAACGACAACAACACGCTGCGTGTTGCGAGAAAGTGATTTTTGTTTTTGTTAACATTTTAAATGCGCTATAGTGTTATATAACGATCTAAAATGCAACGGCAAAATCCCTCGAATCAGCAACAACAGCTGCAACAGCACCAGCAGCTGCAGCAACAACAGCAGCAGCAGCAATTCATGCAGCAAACGCATCAAACAACAATGCAAAGCCATCAAGAAATGCATCAGCAACAAAGGATCAGCCGCACTGAACATCACGTTCAGAGGAGTCAAGTTACCACTCACCAAAGAGGTCAGTCTGAGCAACCAAACCAATACAATGAAACAAACAAGCAAGCAAACAACAACAACAAAATACATATCACAACAGCAGCAACATCATATTTATTTTTCATTAATATATACATACACACATCCATATGGATGTATGTATCGGCCAATCGACCAATTCCACCCACTCACCTACATTTGTGGATGTGCAATGGTACATTCATACATTTGTATGTGTGTGTTTTGTTCATATATACATATATATTGAGATGAATTCATTTGCCTATTTCCGCCTCCACCCAACTTTCTTTTTAAAAGCTCTCTCCTTTAAGAGGGAGAGAGAGACTGAGAGAAAGATCAAGTAAATAACGACAATGTGTTGTTGATATACATATGCTATTGGTATTAGTCACTGAATTCTCTTTATATATATAAATATATGTATATCTTCCACATATGTGTGTATATATACAAACATTTGTATGTCTATGTTTTCCTTTCCAAAGTGAAGTGCGCCGTCGCCATAGCATCCATCTTTAATATGAAGAATACATAAAAATATGCTTTGCATCAGTGTTTTTTTTAATGCATCATCTTCATCATAATCATCAAAATGATCATCATTCTTAAAATAATAATGTGCTCTCTCTCTCTCTCCCAATCTTGTGTCTCTTTGGATGGGAACAAAAATAGGAAGAACTTTTGAATTCCAGAGGTTTTCCACAGATGTCTGTGGCAAATGTATCAGATCCTTGCATAGTTGCCATATTAGACAATTTTGCTCATGTCAATAGGTATGAGAGGAGTGATTAAAATCAGGCTTAAGTTGATCACAAAAATATGATCATCTTGAATATTGATTTTTCAGAAAATCATAGAAAACATGATGATTGTATAGTGGTTATATAGAATCATGATCTTATCAGGAATCTTATATGCAGATAATACTGAAATTTGGATCTGGTCTCTTTTTATGGGGGCTGTGTAAAAAATATCAACTGATTTTGAAAATTGTCTAAACAATTTCATATTGCTCTCCAAGAAACCAGATTGCCAAACTGCAGCAATTTCTGTGGAAAATTCATCTAAAGGTCCCAAATAACATTTGTATAAGGGTTATTTAGAAACATAAACCTATCTGGAATCCGATATGCAGATAATACCGATAATTGGTCTATGGGGGCTACGTCGAAATATTGACTGTTTTTGAAAATTGCCTATTAAATTTTATTATGCCAGATTGCCAAATTGCGGCAATTTTAGAGGAAAATTCGTCTATCAGAATCCGATACTAATATCAATAATTGATCTGGACTTTGAAGGATATGTAAAAATAGCAAGTGATTATGAAAATTGTTTAAAAATTGTATTTTGATCTCCAAGAACCTAGATTGTTAAAACGGTCTCGACCTCTATATATAGACTAGGTCAACGCATGGACTTATTTTGGAAATTCGTAAATTTCGTTAATGAAGAAGAATCTTTTTGTGGGGGCTATATAAAAGCTTGGCCCTATATAGATAATTTTCCTCAAAGATGTGTTGTAACCTCCTAAAACCTTCAAAATACAATTAGAGACAATGCAGTTTGGAAAAACGTACCGAAAAATCCCCAAAACGCCAAAAAATTGGGGATACCATTATATGGAGACTACTCGGAAATTTGGACCAATATTCAAAATTTTGCTAGGAATTTTTTCCAACCAATGAAAACCGAAAATACCAAATAAGAACCAGTTAGGTTGAAAAAGGTACACTGACTCCTAACGTACCGAAATTTGACAACTAGAGTTATATTGAAGGTCTACCCCGAAACATGGACCAGAGAGTACACAAAATACAAAATTACAACCGATCCAAAAGCTTGAAAATACCGAATATTAAGGGGGTACAGCAATATATAGAGGCTACCCTGAAATGTTAAATGATAATTCCTAATTTCAAATGACAACCCCTTCAGTTGAAAGAGGTACCCAAAAGCTTCAAAATATCGAATATTTGTGGGTTCGATACCGATATATTTTCATTTTCGGAAATGTGGACCAGAATTCAAAACTTTTGCTAGGAAGTTCTTCTACTCAATGAAAATCCAAACTATCAAATAAGAGCCAAAGAGGTTGAAAATCGTGCCCGAACTCCCAAAATATCGAAATTTGAAATCTAGCCTTAGATGGGGGGCTACGTCCAATAACATGGATCAATATTGATTTGATTTGCTACCCAAAGAGACCACGAAATCTTTCCAGTAGGAAGATTTTGCCCAAAATACCGAATATTAGGGGGAAGAGTAATATGGCCAATACCCCGATACAATATCGATAAATTTCGTACAGAGATTTTCTGCTCAACGATACTCCCTAATATTAAATTACAACCAATACCTTTGAAAAAGGTGCTTCAAGATACCGACTATATGGGGACAATCATAAAAAGTGGACCAATATTCCCCGTTTTCAATACCAAATATCTTAGGAATCACTAGCAATATATATGCAAATTTCCACAGCTCTAACTTAAATATTGTGATCTCAATGGTGCTAGTAACAGACAATCGGACGGACATGGCTAAATCGTCATAGAAATTTATTCTGATCAATAATGACAAATTTAAAATTATTGGGTTGGTGGGTATAAGGAAATCGTTTCAGATTTATTCGAGATTTATTCGAATCACATTGAGCCTAAAATAATGTGTGACCCTTCTACTTTCCGATTTAGCGATCTAGGGATCCGAATCAATCTCACAAATAAATTACAGTTATTATCAATTCATTTGGAATGTCATGTTTCCATGTTTCCTTAGTGCTACTTTTGAGGATCTCGTAAATTAAATGAATTTCTAATTCTTATTTCTAGCCGGGAAATTTCGAAACAAAAAAATCATAAAAGGAAAACTGGGTCTTTGAAGAGAAAAGAAGTACGAATAAATGATACTCCTTCGTTTCTTTGCTATAGGAGTATAATTTATTCATCTTTCTGTTCTCTTAGTCAGGTGCATATAAATTCGAAAAATATTTTGAACAAAAATCAGCTAATGATATTTTTTTATTTTTTCTATTTTCTAAAAATATATATTTTTTATTAAAAAATGTTATTTAAAATTATAGAAATATCCTTGACTAAATTTCTCTCTGAAATATGAATTATTAATTGAATTTCACAAGATTTTTATTTTCGAAATTAGCTGTTATTCGAATTTTTATTTCTAGAATTTTCGTAATGGAAAAAATATCATTAACATATACACTCGTTTATAAGTCATAAAAATTAATTAAAAATATAAAAAATATATATATTATAACACATCTGTTGATATTATTCATATGTATATACATAACTATAAACATACGAATATATTCGAAAAATGTATCATCTCAACATATATTTTTCATGTGGATGACCAATGCAAAACTTGTCTAAGATGATTCAAAAAAATATAATGGTGTCGTGTGCAATAGAAAATATTTTTCATACTACTTTTTTAATCGAGCTATGAAATGATATGTAATGCTCAGGAAATTGAAATATAACTTCAGAAATTCTTACATATAAATTATTATACAATTAATTAAGGAAATAAAGTACATATTTGCAATCTTAGAACAAAAGTTTATTCCGAAAGCATATCCTATGAAATTCTATCCTTCCCTGCTACTATCCGATAAATTTGTCTTAAAAACACCTCCATACAAACGTAATTTAAAAAAAATGACTAACTTATTTAGATATTTCCTTCGTTAGTTGGCTCCTTCCCATTTAAAAGACCCACAACGATGCACATTCCCTGCATTGGCTTTACAAACAAATATTTACCTGGAACAATATCTCCAGGTGTATTTATTTGTGTATAATATTTTTTTATATTTTTAAAATTCAAATTCCATGGCATTGACATCATCATCGTCGTCCATACACCGAAAAATAACAAGTAAATCTGATGGAAAAACAGTTTATAATTTGTATATCTCAGATACAACGGAATAGATAAGATAATAACTGTTGATCATGGAATTTTATCTCAACTTTATTTATTCATCATTGTTGTGCAGTTATAACGCTGCCGGCAAACGACAAAGAACACAACGTTCGCTCACAAAAAACATTTACATTTAAATAAATAGTAATTCAAGAAGAGGGAAAAGAAACACACAATACAATTACAAATCAAATTCGGAAAATTGAATATCGATTCACACACACACACATACATTAATATAACGAAACTAGCCAAGTGATTTTGAGGCGAATACCATCGAAGTTCGCAACTATTTACACATTTAAATTTTATCTCACTCATTCGAATGTTCAATCCAAAAAAAAAACTCTCAAGAGAGCAATAAGTTTCTCTCTCTCTCTCTAAAAAACACCCATATTTTGTTTTTCCATTTTCCACGATTATTACATAAAAAATGGAAAATTAAAAAATATATAATTTTTAAATAAAAATATTCTCTCATTGTTTTTGATAAAAATCCCTCCATCAAGAAACGAATCTCATAAACAGCTGCTAATATAAACATCAACCATCTCATTAATATCACCTCTCAATTACTCTCTCTCTCTCTCTCTCTAAATATAATTTACCCAATTTAACAAATTGTTTTCCCATCTATCTTCTCAATTTCCAGTGGAACAACATGGCGGCACCTATGTACCACCAGGTATTACACACGTCTATTCGCAAGGCGACATCTCACCACCGGTATTCGAAGAAATCTTCAAGAATGCTCGCTTCGCTCAAGGCGGCAACGCCTTGTTCGAAGGCAAGCTTCGTGGCAATCCCAAGCCATTTGTAACTTGGACTCGAAAAGGCGCACCACTTCTCGAATCGCAAAAGTTCCGCATGAATTATAACGAAGCCACCGGTGAGGTATCGTTGCTCATCAATCAAATCGGACCTGGCGACGAGGGTGAATACACCTGTACCGCTCGCAATCAATATGGCGAGGCTATATGCAGTGTCTACATTCAACCCGAAGGCGCTCCACCAATACAACCCATCCAGAAGTTCGAAAAGAACTTGTACACCAATGGTTATTCATTTACCTCGGTTGAGGAGGAGTTCCGTGTCGATACCTTTGAGTATAGACTTTTGCGTGAGGTATCCTTCAGGGAGGCCATTACACGTCGTGCCACCTATGAACAAGACTATCATCTAAGTCAGGAAGTGGATCGCAGCATGGGTCCCGCTCATGCTCCACAAATTGCCCAGAAGCCTCGTAACTCGAAACTTGTTGAGGGTTCTGATGCTGTATTCACTGCCAAGGTGGGCTCCAATCCTAAGCCCCGCCTTACCTGGTTCCACAACGGCCAACGTTTGGTACAATCTGCCAAATATGACATCTCCTATTCCAGCGGCACAGCCACTATTCGCATTAAGCAGGCCACTCACAAGGATGCTGGTCATTACACTTTGTTGGCTGAAAATACTCAAGGCTGTGTTGTGTCTTCAGCTGTCTTGGCCGTTGAACCGGCCGCCGAATCGGCCCACGAACCCAAGCCAGTGGATACCACCGCTGAACAATTGGAAGCTGGCAAGGCTTTGCCTCCCACCTTTGTTAAGGCCTTCATGGATCGTGAGATCACCGAGGGTCGCATGACCCGTTTCGATTGCCGCGTCACTGGCAATCCCTATCCTGAGGTCTACTGGTTCATCAACGGTCGCCAGGTCTATGATGATGCCACGCACAAAATTCTCGTCAACGAATCTGGTAGTCATTCTCTGATGATTACCAATGTCAGCCGCACTGATGCTGGCACTGTCCAATGCTTGGCTCGCAACAAGGCTGGTGAAATCGCCATCGAAGCCCAGTTAAATGTGCTCGAGATGGAGCAAGTTGTCGCACCACAATTTGTCCAACGCTTCAGTACTATGACTGTGCGCGAAGGCGAGCCCATCACCATGAGCGCCAACGCCATTGGAACTCCAATGCCACGCATCACCTGGCAAAAGGATGGCGTCCAAATCACCTCCACCGCTGATCGTTTCATTGGCATTGATGGCGGTGCCACTTGTTTGGAGATACCACGCGTCAAAGCATCCGACGCTGGCTGGTACCAATGTACTGCACAAAATGCTGCCGGCTCAACAGCAAATCGTGCCCGACTCTATGTAGAAGTTCCCAGAGAACAACCACCAACAGAACAAAGACGTCTGAATTTACCAAGACCTACGAAGATCATCGAACCAGAGTAAGTATTTTATTCGCCGCTCTCTGTAGGAGGACGATGGAGGTAATCAATATGTGTGTATATTTTAGGCCTCAACCTGGTCCAGAAGTTATTTATTTGCGTCATGTTGAACGCGCCAAGCCCCAGAGGCGTCCCGGTGAGGAAGAACGTGTCTATCCACCACCACAATTTATTGTACCCTTGCAAAATGTCCAGCAAGTTGAGGGTTCCAAAGTGCATATGGAAGCTCGCATTGAACCTGTCGGAGATCCAACTATGGTAGTTGAGTGGTACCTTAATGGCCGTCCGATGGCTGCAAGTATGTTTCGAATACTTCTCTTTCACATAAAACGGTAATAATTATCCTGATTTATCTGATTGCTGTAGGTTCCCGTGCCACTTCCGTTTTCAAATTCGGCTTCATTGCTCTGGATTTGTTGAGCGTCATGCCTCATGACTCTGGAGAGTATTTGTGTCGCGTTACCAACGCTTCCGGTATGGCCGAATCACGTGCCATCCTCTCCGTTACTCAACGTCCATCCATTGAGCAAACTTCCCAACACCCCAGCAGTTTGGAGTACATCAGCAACTTGGAAGACTATTCGCGTTACCAACGCCAAGAGAGCACTGAAGAGTTCATGAAACAGGCTCCAGTCTTCATCAGGCCCCTTCACGACTTGGGAGATCTCGAGGAGGGCAAGAACGCTCACTTCGAGGCCCAAGTTAACCCTGTAAACGATCCCACCATGCGTGTAGAGTGGTACAAGGATGGTCGCCCCATTACTGCCAGCTCACGCATCACCGCTATCTTCAACTTCGGTTATGTATCGCTTAATATTTTGCATTTGCGCGCCGAAGATACCGGCACCTATACCGTTCGTGCCGTCAACAGCATGGGCGAAGCCGTTAGCAATTCCAACATTCGCGTAAATGTTCGATCTCAAGTAACCGCTGATTTGGGTATTCCAGAGCAGCAGCGATACATTGAAAAGGTAGAAGAGTTGGAGGACTACAGAATGGCCCAGAAGCGTCGCCATACCCAGGAAGTTCCTGAGCCCATTGCTCCTCCCCAATTCAAGACCCAAATTCAAAATCAAGTCGATATGCGTGAAGGTGGACATGCCCACTTTGAAGCTCGCCTCGAACCAACTGGTGACTCCACCATGCGTATTGAATGGTACAAGGATGGCCAGCCCTTGGAAGCTAGCTCTCGCAGCACCACCTTCTTCAACTTTGGCTATGTTGCCCTTACCATCAAGCAATTGACCATCTATGATGCCGGTACCTATACCTGCCGTGCTTACAATGCAATGGGTGAGGATACCACCACAGCCCAATTGACTGTTATCTCCAAACACGAGATCGTCTCGGATTCTCAACATCCCGGTGGCTTGCAGAAGATCCAACACTTGGAAGACTCTTCCCGCTATGGTCGTAGTGAAGAGGAAGAGGTCACCGTGAAGCAAGCCCCACGTTTCTTGGGTCCCATGAAGGGCACTAACAAAATCATTGAAGGTCAAAAGGCTCACTTTGAGGCAAGAGTTGAACCTCAAAGCGATTTGACCATGAGCATTGAGTGGTATCACAATGGCCAACCCATCACCGCTGCCACTCGTATCCAGCCCTACTACGACTTCGGTTACGTAGCTTTGGATATTACCCAAGTTCGTGCTGAGGATGCTGGTGTCTACACCGTGGTGGCCCGCAATAAGCTAGGTGAAGCCCAATTGCAAGGAACAATGGTCGTTGAAAGTAAGTTTAACTTGTAGGATACCATTCTGGAAGGCATATATTTATAACATTTCCTTTTAATTGCAGCTCGTTCCAGCATTGATACATCTAGCATGCACCGTGGCCTCTATGAGAAGACCCAACACTTGGAGAACAAGCAATTCGTAGAACCTCAATATGACATCGAGGAAATCTCCAAATCTAAGCCCATTTTCGTTCAACCTTTGTCCGATCCCAAACCATTGCATGAGGGCAAGAATATTCATTTGGAATGCCGTCTAGAACCTATGGGTGATCCCACCATGCGTGTTGAATGGTTCCACAATGGCCGTCCCATTACTGTAGGTTCCCGTTTCCGTACCTACTACGACTTTGGTTTCGTAGCCTTGGACATTATCCAAGCCACCGCCTCGGATTCCGGCGAATACACCTGCCGCGCTACCAACCACTTGGGTAGTGCCCACACCTCGGCATGTGTTCGCGTTATTGATCGCTCCGACATTGTAACTGAAACCCAAAATGAAATGTCATTGGAGCACATTCATCAACTGGAAGAAGCATCCCGCCGTCACTACACCGGCGAAGAGGATATCACCATTATGCAAGCTCCTCAATTCACCAGGCCTCTACACAACATTGAGACCATGGAGGGTACCAATGTCCATTTGGAATGCCGTCTTCAGCCAGTTGGTGATCCAAGCATGCGCATCGAATGGTTTGTCAATGGCCAACCTCTTAAGACCGGCCATCGTTTCCGCCCAGCCTATGAATTCGATTATGTAGCCCTGGATTTGTTGGGTTGCTATGCCGCAGATTCTGGTGTCTACACCTGCCAGGCCAGAAACCAATTGGGCGAAGCTGTTACCTCTTGCTCCGTGCGCATTGTGGCCAAGAGCGATTTAATTATGGAAACCCAAAACGAGTCCGGCCTTCAAAAGATTGCCTATCTCGAAGACTCCTCTCGTTATCGCCGCAGCGAATATATTGACGAGGAAATCGTTACCATTCCTCCTCGTTTCTTGACCCACCCCAAGAGCCTCACTAATACCCGTGAAGGTGGCCGTGCTCATTTCGAGTGTAAAATCGAACCAGTTACTGACCCCAATTTGAAGGTCGAATGGTTCAAGAACGGTCGTCCTATCACTGTGGGTCACCGTTTCCGTCCAATTCATGACTTTGGCTATGTAGCCTTGGATATTGTTGATCTTATTGCCGAGGATTCAGGTGTGTACACCTGCCGTGCCGTCAATGCCATTGGTTCCGATGAAACTCAGGTTGAGCTATTGTGTCGCAGCTCTGAACAAATTGTTACCGTTACTCAAAATGAAACCGGTCTGCAACAAATCCATCATTTGGAAGATCGCTCCCGTTATTCTCGTCGCGAAGAAATCGACGAAACAACCAAGCAGGCCCCAGTCTTCACCACGTCTCTAAAGAATGTGGAGATTAAGGAAAATCAACGCGCTCACTTCGAGTGCCGTTTGATTCCCGTTTCGGATCCCTCGATGCGCGTCGAATGGTACCACAATAACATGCCATTGAAATCGGGATCCCGCTTTACCGAAACCAACAACTTCGGTTTTGTCGCTTTGGATATTATGTCCTGCTTGCCCGAAGACGCTGGCACCTATACCTGCCGTGCCTACAATGCCATCGGTGAGGCCATAACCTCAGCTGTAGCCATTGTTCATACCAAGAAGGCCATCTACTCGGAATCGCAGCACGAAAGCGCCCTTCCTCGCTTGCAACATTTGGAGGAATCTACAAAGCGCCAACGCATGAGTGCCCAAGAAGAATTCATCACTCAAGCACCAGTCTTTACACTGCCCGTGCGTGATTCCCGTGTAGCAGAAGGTCAAGCCGTCCACTTCGAGGCCCGCCTCATCCCAGTTGGTGATCCCAATTTGAAGGTCGAATGGTTGCGCAATGGTCAACCCATTGAAGCTTCCAACCGCATTACCACAATGCATGACTTTGGCTATGTTGCTCTCAACATGAAATATGTCAATCCTGAAGATTCCGGCACCTACACCTGCCGGGCCACCAACGAACTCGGCCAAGCTGTTACTTCAGCATCTTTGATTGTCCAATCGAAAACTTCCATTCAAATGGAAACTCAACATGAAGCTGCCATGCATAAGATCCACCAATTGGAAGACCACACTCGTTATCAACGTCGTGAGGAGGAAGAATATGTTGTCACCCAGGCTCCCAGATTTGTCACCAAACTCATTGGCCCCACAAATTTGGTTGAAGGCCAAAGCGCTCACTATGAATGCCGCATTGAACCATATCCCGATCCTAACCTCAAGGTTGAATGGTTCCACAATGGCAAGCCCTTGAACACTGGTCATCGTTTCCGCACTACCTATGATTTCGGTTTTGCCGCTCTCGACATATTGACCGTCTACGCTGAGGACAGCGGTGAATACACCTGCCGCGTCACCAACAATTTGGGCGAAGCAGTCAATTCAATTGTCTTGAATGTCCAATCCCGCTCGGGCATTAGCCACGAAACTCAACACGAAGAAGCCCTGGAAAAGATCCACCACTTGGAAGATGCTTCCCGTTATCAACGTCGCGTTGAAGAGGAAACTTACATGGCCGAAAGACCACAATTCGGTCGTCCATTGCGCAATGTCAATACCAACGAAGGCAAGCCTGTCCATATGGAGGCCACTCTTACCCCCGTCAATGATCCCACCATGAAGGTGGAATGGTACTGCAATGGTGTACCCATTCAGACTGGCCATCGTTTCAAGACCACATACGATTTCGGTTTCGTAGCCTTGGATATCTTGTATGCCCATGCCGAAGACACCGGTACTTACATGTGCAAGGCAAAGAATGCTGTAGGGGAAGCTGTAACGACTTGTGCTGTAAACGTAACAGGTAAGTTGATCACGCCAGGGCACTGGAATGGACATAAGAAATCCGAAACTATGATTAATAAAAATTTATTTTATTTTACTATTCTAGCAAACAAGACATTGGACCTCGACACTCTCGATGCTGAGCGCTTGGAAAAGATTCGCCAACTGGAGACACATGCCGCTCCCAAGAAGGTCGAAGTAGAAGAAAAGGGCCAGAAACCCATTTTCCTAACTCCACTCAGCAATCTGGAACATCTTAAGGAAGGCGAACACGCTCACTTGGAGTGCCGCGTCGAGCCAATCAATGACCCTAACTTGAAGATTGAATGGTTCTGCAATGGCAAGCAATTGCCGCTGGGCCATCGTTATAGAACCACCCACGACTTCGGCTACGTTGCCTTGGACATTCTCTATGTCTATGGTGAAGATACCGGCACCTACATGTGCAAGGCCACCAATTTCCTAGGCGAAGCTGTCAACACTTGCAATGTGCGCGTGTTGAACCGCCGCAGCATGATCTTGGACACTCAACATCCCGATGCCTTGGAGAAAATCCAAAAATTGGAATCCAAGGTACCTGTACGTCGCACTGAAATAAGCGATCAACCTATTAGCCCACCTCACTTCAGCGTTGAGTTGCGTGGCAGCACCGAAATTTATGAAGGTGAAACTGCCCACTTTGAAGCCCAAGTGCAACCTGTGCACGATCCCAATTTGCGCATTGAATTCTATCACAATGGCAAACCTTTGCCCTCGGCCTCTCGTTTCCATATCACATTCGATTTCGGCTACGTGGCCTTGGATATTACCCACGCAGTGGCTGAGGATGCTGGTGAATATTCGGTACGTGCTGTCAATGCTCTTGGCCAGTGCGTATCTTCCACCAACTTGCGCGTCATTGCCCGTGGCACAATCATCATGGATACTCAACATCCCGAAGGTTTGGAGAAGATCCGTAAATTGGAATCGACTGCTCCCTTCCAACGTCCAGAATTGGAGACACCTGGTACCAGACAACGTCCAGTATTTACCCAACCCTTGCAGAATATCGATCGCATTAACGAGCACCAGACCGCTCACTTCGAATGCCGTCTCATCCCTGTTGGTGATCCCAACCTCAAGGTGGAGTGGTACCGCAACGAAAAGATCATTGAGGACAGCTCTCGCATCACCAAACAACACGATTTCGGCTATGTTTCCTTGGACATTTCTCACATTCGCAAAGAAGACGAAGGTGTTTACATGTGCCGCGCCGTCAATCCCTTGGGCGAGGCTGTCACCACCGCTTCTATGCGTGTTGTTACTGAGGCTAGTATTCAAATGGATACTCAACATCCAGACAGTATCAGCCGCATCCATCAATTGGAGCGTCCACCAGCACCTCGCCCCGTCGAGCCTGAGCGTGCATTCGAAAAGCCCATTTTCACCCAATTGCTTACCGGTCCATCGGAGGTATGGGAAGGCCAACATGCCCACTTTGAAGCTCGTGTGGTGCCAGTTGGTGATCCATCATTGAAATTCCAATGGTTCATCAATGGCGTAGAGTTGCAAATGGGCTCTCGCTTGAGAACATCTAACGACTTCGGTTTCGTTACCCTTGACATCAGCTCCATTGTTCCTGAAGATGCTGGTGTCTACATGTGCCGTGCCTACAACGCTGCCGGTGAAGCTGTTTCTTCAACTGCTATGAAGGTCAAGACTAAGGCCAATATTGCCGGTGAACCCTTGATTCCTGAATCATGGGAAGCCATCCGCTTGAAGGAAGCCTCCATGAACCGTGTTCCCGAAATGTTTGTTGACACTACACCACAACAAGCTCCAGTCTTCACCACCCATTTGCAGAGCTACGACAAGCTGAGCGAAGGCCAACATGTCCTTCTTGAAGCTCAAGTTGAACCTCGTGCCGATCCCAACTTGCGTATTGAATGGTTCAAGAATGGTATTTCCCTAACCACTGGTGCCCGCATTCGCAGTACCTTTGACTTCGGTTTGGTCACCTTGTCCATCAATGGCTTGCGTGCCGACGATTCTGCTATTTACACTTGCAAGGCCACCAACCAAATTGGCGAAGCCGTTTCCACTTGTTCCCTCAAGATTGAGGATCGTCATTGGTTGCAAGCCGAATCTTTGCATCCTGATTCTTTGCCACGCATTGGTGAATTGGAAGCACCCAAACCAGGTCGCCCAGAGGCCGCAGAACCTGTCTACGAGACTCCCGTCTTCATTACCCATTTGAACAACATTGAATGCAAGGAGGGCGATAATGGACGCTTCGAGTGCAACGTTGAACCATCACGCGATCCTACCATGCAAATTGAATGGTTCTACAATGGCCAACCTTTGCAGGCCGCTGCCAAATTCAAGTCCATCTACGATTTCGGCTACTGTGCCATGGACATGTCCAACTTGTATGCTGAGAACAGCGGCATCTACACTTGCAAGGCCACCAACAGCAAGGGATCAGCCACCACATCGGGTACCTTGAAATGTACCAGTGGCAAAATTATGTTCCTCGATACCCAACATCCTCAAGGTGAGGCTGGTATGGAGGCCATCAAGGAAACCGAAGAAGAATTGGCCAATCGCTACAACCGCGAGGTTGTTAAGCCCGAAACCCAATACCCCGCTCCCGTCTGGACTAGACCTTTGCAGGCTGAGTTCCATTTGTCGGAAGCTCAAGCATTGCACTTGGAGGGTAATGTGGAACCAAAGGAAGATCCAAATCTCTTCATTGAATGGTACTTCAACGGCAAGTTGTTGCAACACGGATCTCGCTTCAAGATGACCAGTGAATTCGGTTTCGTTACCTTGGATCTGATTGAAGTTTATGCCCGTGACCAGGGTATTTACACTTGCAAGGCCTACAACAAGGCAGGTGAAGCCTTTACTTCGACCACCATCTTCTGCGACACCAAGGAAAGCATCATCGAAAAGACCCAACATCCTAAGGGTGCTGAAGGTCTGGAACAAATTCAAGACTTGGAAGAATCTTTGCGCAAGGATGGCAGCAGACCCGATAAGGAAGAAGAAGGTATGGCTCCACGCTTCACCACCGAATTTACCAACATTGCCGACATCGGCGAAGGTGAAATTGCTCATTACGAAGCCAATCTCATTCCAACCGGAGATCAAAGCATGGTCATTGAATGGTTCTTCAATGGCAAGGTCTTGGAGGCCAGTCATCGTGTACGCACCATTTATGCCTTTGGCATGGTCGCTTTGGAAATTTTGGGTACCAAGATTGAAGACAGCGGTACGTACACTTGCCGTGCTACCAATAAATATGGCTCTGCCGAAATTAGCTGCACTCTTGAGTGTGTTGAGAAACCACGTGGCCAGAAACCCGTTTTCACCACCCACATTAAATCCGTGGAGGGTCTTAAGGATGGCCAATCCGCTCACTTCGAATGCACCCTCATCCCAGTCAACGATCCCGACCTTAAAGTTGAGTGGTATCACAACGGCAAGCTCATGCGTCACTCGAACCGCATCAAGACCGTTTCCGATTTCGGCTACGTCGTCTTGGATATTTCCTACTTGCAGGATCATGATAGCGGCGAATATGTGTGCCGTGCCTACAACAAATACGGTGAAGACTTTACTCGTGCCACACTCAACTGCCGTGGTCGTGGTGGTGTCTTCTATGACAGCTTGCAACCTGATTCCTTGCAAAGAATCCGCGAATTGGAATGTCCTCAAGGCCAAGAAGTGCCTTCAACTCCCGTTGTTGCCGAACCACCCAAGTTCATTACACAAATCACCGATGTCACCAAGTTGGTTGAGGGTCAAAGTGCTCACTTTGAGGCCCGCCTTACACCTATTACCGACCCCGACCTCAAGGTTGAATGGTACTTCAATGGCAAGAAATTGCCTCATGGCCATCGTTTCCGTACCTTCCACGATTTCGGTATTGTTATCTTGGATATTTTGTATTGTTATGAGGAGAATTCTGGTGTTTACGAATGCCGTGCCGTCAACAAATATGGTGAAGATGTAACCAGGGCTACATTGAAGTGCACCTCGAAGGCCAACCTGATTTTGGACTCGCAATTGCCTCGTGGCATGGAAGGTGGTTTGGAGAAGATTGCCAATCTGGAATACAGTATGGTACGCACTCGTGACGAAACTGTCGAAGAGAGCAGAGGCAAGGCCCCCGTGTTCACAGTACCCTTGGAGAACATCGACAATATGCGCGAAGGTGAAAACGCTCACTTTGAGGCCCGTGTTACACCCACTGATGATCCTAAACTACGCGTCGAATGGTTCTGGAACGGCCGTCCTCTTAAGGCTGGTTCCCGCTTCCGTACATTCTGCGACTTTGGCTTTGTCATCTTGGAAATTTCTCCTGTCTACCCCGAAGATTCGGGTGAATACTCTTGCCGTGCCATTAATGAATATGGTGAGGCTGTGACCACTGCCATCATGAAGATTCAAGGCAAACGCAGTATCATCATGGAATCCCAATTGCCAAAGGGCATGGAGGGCACCATTGATCGCATTGCCGAACTGGAAGGTTTGGGTTCTCGCAGCACTGAATTTGTACCCGACGATGATACTGGCAAGCCACCAGAATTTATCACCACACCCTTCGACATGGTCATCAATGAGAATCAATTGGCCCACTTCGAATGTCGTCTGCAGCCGATCAACGATCCCAGCATGCGTGTTGACTGGTTCCACAACGGCAAGGCCTTGTGGTCTGGCTCTCGCATTAAGACCATCAACGACTTTGGTTTCGTTATTTTGGAAATTGCCGGTTGCTACCAACGCGACAGTGGTCTTTACACCTGTAAGGCCACCAACAAGCACGGTGAAGCTACTGTGTCCTGCAAATTGCAAGTCAAGGGCCGCCAAGGTATTGTCATGGAGCCCCAATTGCCATCCAACTTCCGTACTGGCACTGAGAGCTTGCAGAAACTCGAAGAGAACATGCACAAACGTGAAGAGATGGTCATCGATGAAGAACAACCCAACCCACCCAGATTCACTGAAGACATCAAGGATAACTTGGATGTCCAGGAAGGTGGTCCCATTCACTTCGATTGCCGCGTTGAACCCGTTGGTGATCCAACAATGCGCATCGATTGGTTCTACAATGGACGTCCTTTGGCCACCGGTTCCAGAGTGCATCAACTCAATGACTTTGGCTTCATTGCTTTGGACATTGACTATATCTATGCTCGTGATTCTGGTGAATATACCTGCCGTGCCACCAACAAATGGGGCACTGCCACCACCACTGCCAAGGTCACATGCAAGGGCAAGAGCAATATCGTTTACGATACACAATTGCCTGACGGCATGACCGCTCAAAAATTGAAGGAATTGGAACAAGGACGTATTCCCGACGCACCCAAAGAAGAGGAAGTAGATTTCGGACCACCAGTCTTTGTTACCGAAATTGCCTCCACCACTGTCGAAGAAGCTGAAGCTGTACGTTTCGAATGTCAAGTAGAACCTAAGAATGATCCCAACTTGCGCGTCGAATGGTATCGCAATGGTAAATTGCTGCCATCGGGCCACAGATATAGGAACATTTTCGATATGGGCTTCGTATCATTGGATATTTTGTATGTCTATGCCGAAGATTCGGGTGAATATGTTTGCCGCGCCTACAACAAGCACGGTGAGGCACGTACCTCGGCTACAGTGTCATGCAAGAAATTGCCATCAATTATGTTGCAAAATCAAGTGCCACGCGGCATGAAGCGTTCCGAAACTCTAACACAAATGGAGGCTACCATTAAGAAATATACTTCTGAGGTACATTTGACCGAAGATGATCTCTTCGATCCGGATCGCAAGCAGCCACCTCGTTTTGTCACCCAAATTAAGGATCAAACATCGTTGACGGAAATGAGTAAGACCAAATTCGAATGTCAATTGGCGCCAGTTGGTGATCCCAACATGAAGGTGGAATGGTTCTTCAATGGCAAACCATTGTTGTACAGTGAGTATCAGAGTTGAGGGGTGTAATTTGGAAAGTTTTTCTAATACTTTTTGTGTGTGTGTTTTTTACAGAGAACCGTTTCCAACCAATTTACGATTTCGGCTATGTTGCCATGAACTTTGGCTGGGTCTATCCCGAAGATAGCGGTGAATATGTATGCAGGGCCACCAATTTGTATGGCAAAGATGAGACCAGGGCTGTTATTAAGGTAGCTGGCAAACCAGGCATTGTTTATGATTCCCAATTGCCAGCCCATATGCACAGCATTGATCGTATCCGTGAAATGGAAGCCTCGTGGCAAGTGTAAGTAGCAATTTTGAGATATTTCTTTTTTCTTGGAAATTAGGCTATACGATTTTAAACATGCTGACGAATGCGGTTAGTTGGTGTGTGACAAAATGGCGCCCAATGTTCAGCCTGAATCAACGATACGGAATTTAAATGTTTCAGGCTCTGCCAACTAATTTAGTTGGTCAAGTAGCCACATTTGGTGTTATGTATCAATATGGCGCCCAACGGTGGGCCCTAGGTGTATGTATCAATATGACGCCCAAAGTTGCAAATTATGCATTTCGAAGAGAAGAAAATAGTTTTTATTTAATTAGTTTTGTCTCCCCATGGATTAAGGCATACAAACTTTGGACGTTGGACCCATATGCAACTTTTTAAATTTGTTTTTTTTTTATTTCTATTTATGCTTAAAATAACAAATGACTAACTGTGTTACTTTTTCGTTTTTCCTTTCACGTAGTGTTCCCGAGGAAGTTGATCCTGATGCCAAGGCTAGATGTAAACCCACGTTTGTTAGCAAACTGGAACCACAGACCGTTGAAGAGGGCGAACCTGCTAGATTCTGTGTGCGTGTAACTGGCCATCCTAGACCCAGAGTTATGTGGTTGATCAATGGTCATACAGTTGTATCTGTAAGTATTACTTTTTCCAATTATATACCTCCATCCGTCGAAGTCTAATTATTACAATTTTCCTTTCTGCAGGGTTCACGTTACAAGCTCACAAACGATGGAATGTTCCATTTGGATATTCCAAAGACACGTCAATACGATACCGGTAAAGTCGAAGTAATTGCTCGTAATTCTGTTGGCGAATCTATTGCCTCAACCGAATTGAATGTTGTGGCACGTTCCGATGATTTCCGTGGCGTTCTTAAGAATTCACCACGTCGTAAGTATTGCCAACTGTTTTGTTATTTTTTTTTCAACACTTATTATTAGTATTTACAACACACAAGGTTAAGTTAATATTCACCACAAACAAACTGAAAATAACACCACAAGCTTTACTTTTTTGAAAAGAAAAAATATTTTTTTTACTTAATTGATTGACAATAACACAATTTTTCAACCACAAACCTGCCAAGTTTTTTAGAGTAAACGATTTTATTTAACAAACAAACACATGATGACATTGTAAAATATACATACAAGCTACATCAGATTTTCCAAACCAAAAAAAGAACACCTACAACAATTCCAAAGAAAAACTTAACTGTCCACAAACTAAACACAAAAAGAAAAAACTACAAGAACCCAAAAAAATCAAAACCCCAAGAATTTCCTTCCTGGTACCTTCCACTCTTCTTCCCATCTACCCTCTCTCTCCGATCCTTTTCCCCTCCCAGTCTATCTCTTTTCCACTTGTAAATATTCCCCATCATCATATGCAAGCTGCAACATCTCAACGGTTATCTAGTAATGCCCCCCAAATTCTCTATGGATTCTGGGAATCACCAAGCGACGCTTTCTAACCTAACCTAACAAAAAAGTCTGGATGAGATGATGATAAGGATACCAAGTAGATGGGTAGTATAATGAATAATAACCATGGAAATATGTTTGTGTGTATGTTTTATGTTTTTTTATATTTTTGTTACTTTTCCAAAGTATCACTGTAATTTATTTACTAAAACAATTTTTGTTGTGTATAATTTATTGGTATTGTGGTTCATCCATTGTTTATTTCTTCACATTGTTTTATATGACAATAATTCTCATTCACTTGAATGTGATACCTGTAGTGGTTATTAAATTTTGGTTTTTGATTTTCAATATTTTTACCAAGCATGTTTTATGTTTTTTTTTATAATAAAAACTATTTTTTTATTTTTTAAATAATTACATTCCTTCACATATATAGTTTATATCACATTTATTAAAATTCTACATGTTACAAAGATTTCGATTTATTTTAAAATCTTGGTTCTCTAGGTCTATCATTTGTTGAAACTCTTTGAACCCATATAGTTGGTAGTTTCATTACGGAACTAGTTCAAAGGAAATATTCACCAACAAGAAGGAACGGTACTAAATCAATTTCATTCTTTCTTTGAATGTTACCACAGCATTTATCTTTCACTCAACTTTCTACAAATGGGTCTTGGGCAATCTTCAGAGGTCGATCGAACTAGGTCATTTTTTTTTAAAAGTGAACTCTGTGGTTCTCCTCGTTCAATTAGCATATATCGTTCAAATGGTTACTCAGTTCAATTTGTATGGCAGCAAATTCATGATATGTATATAATTTATTGAATTAAAAAAAACTATATCAGGATCAACTGAAAGTATTTTTTCATAGTTCACTTCTAAAATATTTTCATTAAGTTTGTGAACCCAGCATTCTGTGAATTTTTTTTTCAGAATTTTAAGAAAATAGTTATATTTGAACGAGTTTAACGCCGTTCAGTTCAGTTTGTCAAAGTCAGAGTTTCTCTGATCCACATTGAACTATGTCGTTCACCCATTCAGTGGACTGACTCGTTCAATTGAACTAGGTCGTTCATGAGCCAATCCAATTGTCAATAAAAAGTTTAAAAGCAATATTTCATATGAATTCACAGAACATTGTCAAAATATATTATCCTTCTATTTTTAAGTCCTTGTCAAAATTCAACTTCGATTTTTGACCATTCACTACAAAAGTAAAAATCGCCCTAGGTATCCCTGATTTGAAGCCTAAACACAAATGGAAATTGCGGTACATTTGAATGAACACACACAAAAATCAATCGTCTTATTTTGATCAATCGTCTTATTTATTAAGGATCAAGATTTATGGAAATTAAAATTGTGGATCGATCTGAAGGCTCAGCATTAAACATGTTTATTTCACAAGCGAACTAGTTCATCTGAACAATTCCCTGAAAAGAACGTCTTATTCTTTCTGACAACATAAATTTGTAGATTGTCCCCAATTGATTGGCATCCATGTTGTTTAGTTCACGACCGAACTAGTTCAGATGAATTCCTTGTCAAAATTCAACTTCGATTTTTGGCCTTTCACTACAAAAATACGTTTAGTCAAAAATTGACTTAAGTATCCCTATTCGAAGCAAAAATGGAAACTGTGATACATTTGACTGAACACAATCCGGATTGAAAGCAACCGCCTTATGCTGAGCCACAAAGTTCAGCAATAAATATGATTAGTTCACAAGAGAACTAGTTAATTTAAACAATTCCCTGAAAACAATTCTGATAACATACATTTGTAGTTTGGCCCCAATTGATTGACCTGAGGGTTCCGCATCCATGTTGTTTAATTCACGAGCGAACTAGTTCAGTTCAACGATTCCATGAAAAGAGTGTATGAACTAGGTCATATGTTCACTTTAATTCATTTTTTGTTTGAATAAAAATTGTTATGAGGGGTACTTATTCGCCCATAAAATCAAACGTTACTACAGAAAACAAAAAAATGTAGTTCACGGAGCATATTGAACTTTCTCGTTCATTTTTTTCAAAAGGAACTAGTTCCTTAATATTATTTATTAGTTCTATTTTTGTTTATTATGGGTTGTGGTCACACAGGGAGCTGTATTAACTTGCGTTTTTATTTATGTAAGAACATCTGAAAAATTAACTAGAAACAACAAGAAGAGGAAAGAGATCGGTAAAAAGAGTGAAATCAAGTAATGGAACTATATGAACAAAACAGATGGACCGATACTTCCGATCGTTCCTTTCTCGTAATAGTGCCAATGAACTAGTTAGTTCCGGTACGATCCAACTCTATTATTTTGTAACTAACACTCCACAGTCTATGATCAATAATGAACTAGGTAGTGAAATATGGTCATTGAACTAAATAGTGAACTATAAACCAGATGAACTATCGAAATTCCATTTAGAGAGCTGAAGTGTAAGGAACATTTTTATAAAACATTTGAAAAGCTGCTTATTTATATTTTGGGTTCGAAGGGCCCACTTTGGTCCTATTTCAAAACATTATTTTTTTGAATTTTTTGTGTTGGGTTTATTTTAGACTTTATTCAAATCCAAAGACCTATTTGTTATATATATAGGTCCACTTTTCTATATTTTAGATACAATAGAGTCATGATAATACGCAATAATATATTTGGGCAGATCGAAGGGCCAAATACAGAGATTTTTTAAAAAAATAAGTATTTCAATTCCTTATAAAAGTAAAAACTCTTCGAAAAGTCGAATTCTAGTATTGACCATTAGGATGTATGTAAATATATGTGTATATATTTTTTTTAAATTAATGTAACTAATTCCAGCTTATTAAAAAATAACACTAACCCAATTATAAATATTTGTTTTAAAATAAAAAATATTACGAAAGTAAAAATAATTATTATTATAAAAAAGTGTCCTTACAAAAAGGAAAACACCTAGCCCTCCCAGAAAAAAATCAATAAAAATGGATTTATGTTTATCCGTTCGATTGTGTTGTAAACCACAAATGATGAACCCTATTTCTCAACTCAATTTCTTTTCTCTTTATTAATTTTTACCCTCGGTTTAGCTTGGTATGATTATGAACTAACGGCCTATCAAAAGGAACGCAAAGAAAACGAATTGGAAAAGGTGTTCGATGAACGCAAACAATATTTGGCCGAGCAAAGTGGCACCACTTTGAAGGGTGTTGAACATCTCAAACCCAAACAATACAAACCTGAAGCTCCCGAATGGCAACAGACTGTGCGCAAGAAGAAGACCGAAGATTATTACAATAAATTGCAGGAGCTCGACACTGAACTTCTGTTGAAGGAAACTAATTTGCGCAAGGATAATCATCAATATGCTATTCCTGGCGAGAAAATTGTTAGCAGTTCACAAGCCAAGGGTATGGCTCAGTCCTATGAGGAGAATTTGTAAGTTGAGATATAAAAAACAATTAAATTTGTTCATATTTTAAATATTAATTTCGCTCTCTTTCTCTTCATCTATTTATAGGCAAGAAGAACAAACAACAAGCACCAGTGCCACCACCAAACGCGTAGTCCAACAAAAACCCGTGGAACCCTCTGAATCGTCCGTCCATGGCCGTGAAGTGCACATGAACAAACAACAACAAACCCAAAAGGAAGTTGTTGGCGACATGGAAATTACCCGCAAGATTACCGCCACCGAAACCACTGAGGTTGAGCACAAGGGCACCATTCAAGAACGTGTGGTCAAGGGCCCCGTTAAGCCAGCCAAGCCACCAGTATTCACCAAGAAGATCCAGCCATGCCGTGTCTTCGAAAATGAACAGGCCAAATTCGAAGTTGAATTCGATGGTGAACCCATGCCCAAGATCAAATGGTTCCGCGAGAACTTCCCCATCCAAAGCTCACCCGACTTGCAAATCCACACCTTCAGTGGCAAGTCCATCTTGATTATACGCCAAGTGTTCGTTGAAGATTCCGCAGTCTTCTCCTGCATTGCCGAAAACCATGGAGGTACCGCCAAGTGCAGTGCCAATTTGGTCGTTGAAGAACGCCGTCGTGCCGGCAAGGGTGGCATGGCTCCCCCTAGCTTTGTAAACACCATTCAAAGCACCACTGTGACCACCGGCCAGTTGGCTCGTTTCGATGCCAAGGTAACCGGCACCCGTCCCATGGATGTCTACTGGATCAAGAATGGCATGAAACTCCAACCCAGCATAAAATTCAAGATGTTGGAAGAGGACAACATCCACACCCTGTTGATCATTGAACCAACTGCCGAAGATACTGGCCGTTATGAATGTGTTGCTGTGAATGCTGCTGGTGAGGCTCGCTGTGATGCCGATTGTGTTGTTCAATCCTCGGCCAAACCCGAAAAGCCAACCACCCCCGGCGTGGAAAAGGCTCCACACATTGTCGAACAATTGAAGAGTCAATCTGTGGAAGAGGGTAGCAAGGTAATCTTCCGTTGTCGCATTGAGGGTAAACCCACACCCACGGCTCGTTGGATGCGTGGTGATAACTACGTTAAACCGTCACGTTACTTCCAAATGTCACGTCAAGGTGAATACTATCAGCTTGTCATTTCGGAAGCCTTCCCTGAAGATGAGGGCATCTACAAGTGCATTGCCGAAAATAAATTGGGTAGCATTCAGACCAGTGCTCAATTGAAGGTGCGACCAATTGAGAATTTGGATGCTCCACCCACAATTACCGCTTTGAAGGATGTTAGCGTAACGGAGGGTATGCCAGCCCAATTTAAGACGACAGTAACGGGCAAAGTGAAACCGACAAGTGTTCAGTGGTTCCGTGAAGGTGCTTTAATTCCGGAAACACCTGATTTTCAAGTAAGTTGATGTGCAAAATATTTTTCTTGTTGTTGTTATTTATTAGTTATACATTATTATTACATACCACACGAAAGAAAAAAACTCGATTTCTAGCGTTAACGCTAGTAACCTTTTCAAGAAAAAAAATGTCAGGTTCATCAAAGGGGAAGAAGCAGCCTTACAAAACACCTGCAAATTTCTAACTGATCTTAAAAACCTTTCTGAATTTTGTATCAAATCGTTTCTGATTTAGTGAATTTCCTATGTCATATAGATATCTCTTAAATGCGGTTTGAGAGTCAATACACTGGAACGATACAAAGTCCATATAAAAATTTCATATATCACTAATTTTCGTAATTATTTCGAATTTTCGGGTCAGGTTTTTTTCAATTTCAACAAGTTATAATAGCGACTTTCAGGTCCTTAGTGCCTATACATGTTGACATGACTCATACGCCACCAACTGCTTCAACTGTAACAAAGAAATAAAAATTGAATTTGAACATTCGAAATGCTAAAAATCGATTGGGGCTTTCAGGAGAAAACATGTGGTTTGCTGCATTAAACTACAGCAAATTATATCGAATAGTAGGGTTACCATTATGTGGGGACTATATCAAAACTGAATCGATATTTATATTTTTTGTAGGGAGATTACAATTATAAAAGGTAACAGCAAATCTCAGCTGATTTGATTCCAACGTAATACTAGTGTCAATATGAATTTGACAAATTATGTTTTTAAAAATCACCCAACAGGAAAATTTATGAGAGCATACTTTTGAAATTGTTCTTTATTAAATGTGCTCCCGTAAATTTACTCAATCTGCCTGCTGGGAAAGTTTCAACACAAATTTTCTTCAAGGAATAACTCGCTATTCCCAGCATTTTCATATGAGTTACACATATATATAGCAATGGCTCATTATAGGAAAGATGTGGAAGCGATAGAAATATAAATTTGATAGATTTTCATTTGTTTTTCAATTTTTATTTTGAGGATTCGAAAATATTTCATTTTCAAAATAAAAATAATTTGATGATAATTTGTTTGTTTGTTTACATTTTTCTGTCAAAATGAGTTGACACTAGTAGAACTTACAACAACAAATTTCCATGTGGTTCTTGTATCGTTTTTTGTACAACAACACTTGCTGTTACCTTCTATTATTATACCATGGTAGGGAGATTTGACATCCAATGAAAATTCAAAATTTGTTAAAAACCGAAATACCGAAATTTTATGAGAGCTACTTTTAAAAATTGACCCATTCACAAATTCTCGATACCAATTCGTATTGGATACCCCAAGAAAGATTTTTTCATTCCCAGTTCATGTGAGGTCACGCACATTTCAGGTATTCCCTGTCTCGTTTTCCTTACTAATTTTTTGCAATTTCTCAAAAATATAAAATCTCCTTGCAGACAATTTTAAATATGGGACTGTATTTTTTATTTTGCCCCCTTCATATTTCAGGTTGTTTGAAGGTCCCAGCATAATTAAGATAAAAGCTAATTTTTAATTTATTTTCCCCTCCTGGTGGAGACTGCAAAAAGATCGGCAGGCCTTCTTTAATGACATTGACATGATGACATTTGAATCTTCTCTTTTATCGAGATCAGTGAAGGATTCAGGATCAGAAAAAAGAACGAGATCAATTAAAGATCTGGAAATAGTTCCGTTCTTCTTTTCTCGGAATAGTTGCAATAAACTACTTCGTTTCGGAACTACCCAACTCTATACGAAATTACGGAAATTTTTCGCTTCGTATTTTACTAGAAGCCTACGCATAATACCGAATTTCCTTCCCGAATTTCTGATATTTTCAAGGATTTGGACACCGATTCGTATCGGATACCCCAAGAAAGATTTTTTCAAAGCTCCTAGCAGAATTTTTCAACACAAGATTCGGGAAGTTGTCATTCCCAGTTCATGTGAGGTTACGCCCATTTTAGGTATTCCCTGTCTCGTTTTTCTAAACTAATGTTTTGCAATTTTCCAAAAGATCAAAAACACTCTGAAAAAATAATTTGCAGAAAGTAAGAAATAAAAGTAGTGCAAACTAGTTCACGTAGTGGATCGATCTTTCTCGTTCCTTTTTTTAAAGGAACTAGTTCTTAAATATAGTTCCTTTCCTCCCAATAGTTCCGACTCCAAGATTCCTTTGAATCTTCTCTTTTATCGAGATCAGTGAAGGAATCAGGATCAGAAAAAAGAACGAGATCAATAAAAGATCTGGAAATAGTTCCGATCGTTCTTTTCTCGGAATAGTTGCAATGAACTACTTCGTTTCGGAACTACCCAACTCTAAATTTTTCGCTTCGTATTTTACTAGAAGCCTACGCATAATACCGAATTTCCTTCCCGAATTTCTGATATTTTCAAGGATTTGGATACTTTTTAGAAGCTAAATAAGGTACTCGAATTTATTTTTTCTTGCAAAATTCGGCTACATATTCCTTCTTAAACATTGACAGAGTTCCGCTACATCATGTGTACTTAATAATTTCATATATGTTTCTTGAAATATAAAGTAGACAATCTCTATGAAAATAATTTAAAAAAACATGCTCGATATCTTCATAAGTCGATGATTTTTCTTCGGAAAGCTGGACTATATTAATAAAAATAGATTCGCATTTTGATAAATGTGGTTTTTATTGTAACAAGTGATCAAAATCCTGTATCATATCTCTCAAGTTCCTTGATACGAATAAGTTATGTCGTACATCATACGCTACTATTTAATGGTACACCACGTTTTTAGATGTACTTAGAAGTGAACCACTTGGAAAAGCATTTCTTGTTTCTAACCTTCAAATACGGCCTATGGCACTTCTGACTTTACTAGAAATTAATTAGCGGATTTCATTCAATAAACAAATTGCTAACGTCTCAGCTATTTAATTTTCAAAGTCTGTGCTGTAATGCGTATGAGTGATGACGTACATTATACGCCACTATATAAGCAAAATACTGCATTAATTTATTACATAGTGTGAAAAGATGAAAACCTCAATATTGCACAGTGTCCTAGTACATATATACATGAACCTGATTACGTTTTTTGGTTCGCTTTAATAATTCCTCTCCTAATTTTATTTTAATTAATACGGCCTATGATACTTCTGTCTTCCCTATAATATAATTAAGGGCTTTCATTCAATAAAGGAATTGTAATTGAGTACCATTTAATTTTCGAAGTCTGTGCTATAATGCGTATGAGTGATGACGTACATCATACGCCACTATATAAGAATTGTGAATTCTACCAAAATACTGCATTAATTTATTACATAGTTTAAGAAGAGGGACCTAAATATTGAGTAATGTTATAGTATACATGTACATGGACCTGAGTAGAATTTGTTGGTGCTCTCTAATAATTTCTCTCCTAATTTTATTTAAACTAATATTAATTTTTTACTAATCCCCCTATTATCTTCATTTCAGATGATTTTCGATGGCAATACCGCCGTACTATTGATCGGCACAACCTATGAAGAAGATTCTGGTATATTTACTGTACGTGCAACATCATCAACTGGACAAGCGGAATCATCGGCCAAATTAACTGTAAAAAGTAAGGATTAAAACAAAATCAAAAAACAAACAAACAAATGAAAACCTATTTTAAACAAGACCCCTCATATACGATAATGAAAAAAAGAAAAAAAAACAACAACAACAATTACCTTACACATAAATCCCCCCCAACAAATTAAATATTTTATAGAGCAATTGATATTAATTTCCAAAAAAACAAAACAACATGTAATTGAAATGAAATCAGAAAACGAAATGAAAACGACGAGAGAAAAAAAACTAAAATGAGAAATATTAACAAATCAACAACAGTTTAAAGGTACTTTTAATCGAAATTAATCAGTAAAATTTACAAAAAAAAAATAATAATTTCCCCTGTTAAACTGTTGTTGTTCTACTAAACTAGTCTTTAATTATAAGTTTTTTTTGGATTTTTTCTTTGTCCAAAGAAAATGTTTGCTTTTTTATAAAATTTTCTTTTTTAATATAAAAAAAAATTATTTAAGTCGAGTGAAAATTTAAAATAAAATAACTAATTAATTAACCCCCGAATGAAGTGCAAAAAAAGATAAAAATAAAAAAATCTCAAAAAAAATGAGTTTACTAGCAAGAAAATGCAGAAAAAAATTAAGTGCCTATTTTTATCTTATCAACTTATTATAAAAAAAATTGGGAGGCTTGGATATTTCTTAGGGCAGGGCATAGAGGAAAATTTGAAAGAAAAGACACTGGAAGAATGATTATTTTCAGGGCATCCATATTACATTGAAATTAGCTATTTATGGACGCTCTTAAAATATCGGATTAATTGAAAAATATTCAGAATCCTTTTACGGGCAAAATGTTTTCAAATATACGAAACAATTTCTAAGCGTAACGTATTTTGTTTTTCAACTTTTAGTTTGAACATACCGCCACAATACTGTGGAACTGGTCTTTGGTGCGTATAAGTATTGTCATAACTTATACGCCACCCCATGCGTCAAATTTAAAATCTAGGTTTTTTCATGTAATTTTTTTTTGCAAATATACGACAATGAAAATTGGATTTGGAAATCTGTCATATTAAATAAAATATCGTCTTTTAATATATTTAAAAAATTATAAACATTTTTATTGGCATCAGATCTGACCACAAAAACTTAGGATTCCAATCTGTAATCTACGAATATTTTCCATAAATTTATTTCGATAATTCTCGTAGGTATTCCGAATATATATTGCCGCTAAAAGAGCCTTTTCGAGATACCAAAATATATAAATTTCCCGAAGTTGTCGTAGTCTTATTTAAAATGGTATCTCTAAATAATCTAAATAGAAATCCTAGGTCCCAGAAAATCTATATTTCCGAAGGGTCTTTTGTCCATAAATTATCACTTTTCATTCAAAAAAGGTCTCTTTCAATTAAAAAAATCTATGATGCCAAATTACACGCCAGAGTTTTTCACAAAAATCTGGATTTCAGAAGAAGAAGTCTAGAATACATTTTTACATTTCCCCCCTATAAAAAGGGCCCTTGCAAAAGGCCATATCTTGTATGCCATTGGCAAGTAAAACATATGAATCACATTATAATCAATTTGAAATTTGGCTGCCAGCAATGATTATTTTTTTCCACTTTTTTTCTGAAAATGATTTGAAACAGATTTTCTATTTCTTTTTTTTTTTGGTTTGAGTCAACCCATTTTTAGTGAGGGCCCGTGTGCAAAACGCACATTCACTCCTACATAAATACATAGTAATTAGCATAAAATATGGCAGTGATGTGCGTCTGTATATGTATTGTTGGTCAGCAGCGGCTAGCTTTTCTGTCTGTTTGCCTGCCTGTCGGTTTGTCTCTGTATGACACAAAGAATAGCATTTTTCCAAATCCATTTTCAGGCAAAACCAAGCAAAAACATAAAGATGCGAAAAAAATAATATTGAAATGTTCAAATTTAGCCGCACAACGGCTGTTCGTTCTGCCAGCCTGCCTGGTGGGCATCTATCTTTGCCTATATGTATAAATATATGTGTATACCACACACACAAAATGTATTTATTACATACAACAACAATAAATCTGAGATATACAATTTTCGAAAAAAATACGTGCGCAAAAATTGTTTCATATTTATTTTCATATTGTTTTTTTGTACGGTGTCTTATTAAAAATTCTACGAAAGAAAAATACAAATCTAGATAATCATTAATTCATGCCAGCAAATTTCCATTGTTTTTATTTCTGTAGATTTTCAATTGAAAAAAAAAAAACAAACCTAGAAATTTCCAATAAAAATAAAACAACATTTTAAGGTTATGTGAAAAAAGAATAGTTTTTATTTTCAAAATAATAAAGAAATTAAATTTTTTGATTTCATTTTATTATTAATTCTCACAACACACGTACATATACATATGTATATTACATTATTCTTACAACATACTTACATGTCACAACTGCCCAGATCCGACCAGACCACACAGCAAATATTCGATATAAAATTATAAAAAAAATTTACGAAATTCTTTTTTGGCACATATTTTTATAGTCTTCTAATGATTCAAATTATGATTGTCATGTGGCAATCTTTTGCTTGTCTTCGCCTTCGATCTTCTGACCCGGCCGGCCAACCATCCTCATCATCCTTCTCATACATCATGGTCGTGGTTCTGTCTTGGCCAATTCTAATGAGATTTTGGGTGGCGGGCGTGATTAATTAATTTAATTTAAAAATTAAACAAAAAAAAAATTAAAAACAAGATCCCAACATCTGCAACAACAACAATAACACATTGTTTTGTAATTCGTCAGCTGTGTTGATTCATATGTTTATTTTGTTTGGTTCGAAGAAAACAGACAAAACAATAAACAATGTCAAATCCAATCAATCTAAAATAAAAAGAAGTGAAAAAAACAATATTTTTAGTTAAACACAGTCATAAGAAAAAATAAATTTAAAAAAAGCAAACCTTATTCTTTGGATAATGACAAAATACAGCTTAAAACTCTTGCAGCCCGGAAAATGTTTATCAACAACAAACATCATTAATAACAACAAATCAAAAAAAATCTTGTAATCTTTTATTATTATTAATATTTATATATATTTTATTTAACTGTAATTTTTATATAAAAAAATCAGAAAAAAAAGAATTTTTGTTTAACCAAAGTAATTTTTAAAGTTAATAAATGTTTACTGTATCTATAATTTTAAATAATAATTGAAACAACGCCTAGAGTCAATATTACATTAATGGTGTAATAACGCCCAGTATAAAGAAGAGTTAAGGTTTTTTATTCACCACACTCTCAACGAGAGTAGAAAAGGCCAGTTATGTGAGAGGCAATTTTACACTATTGTGTTGAATGTAAACAAGGGCAAACAGAGTTGCATTTGAAGGGGCTAAACTTTAGCGTTGTTTATTAAACAATAAAATTCCAGATTAAGTTCTAAAATATCAGTTAAATTGGAAATATTAAAAAGGGATTTACATAGAAAGTTAGGTGAACAGAAATCCAATTTTTATGATAATGAAAATCTTTTCAAATAAATAAAAACAATTTCATTTGAATTTTAAATTTATCAGAAGTCTTGATCAGTCAAATATAGTTCCAATCACTGATAATAAAAAAATTGATTTAAAATTTGTTTATTTCAGAGGAGCTAGTTTTAGATATTTTTCATTCGAAACTATTAGCTAAAATTAATATATGGAAAGGAGATTGACATTTTAGAAAATAGGTGTATTTATGGAGGATTATAACTCATGATCAAATAGGGATACAATGAAAGGTACTTAAAAAATAAAGGGGACTTCGAAATATTCTTTTCAAAATAACTTTGAGAACTTTACTTATTTCATTTTATCGGACAATTAGTCCTAATTTATGATTACTAGAGTCCTAATTTATGACTACTAAAGTTCTAATTTGTGACTACTAAAGTTCTAATTTATGACTACTATAGTCCTAATTTAAGACTATCAAAAGGGCATAACTGGAAACTCAAAAAATACTAAAGATTCAGGGGAAATTTTTTCTTTGTTTTCAACAATTCAGATTATTATCCTCATTGAAACAGAAATTATTAGAATTACAAGAATGGCATAGAGAATATCAAATCTATTAAAGGAATTCGGCGAAAGTCAGAAATATTTCTTCCTTATAAAATATCGCAATATGTATTTGCTTAAAATAGAAAGGGTAATCTGATAGATTTCCGATTTATTTAATTGCAATTCACATTTGAAAATGTCTAGTTCCGAAAATAAAATACCAAATCTTGATTCAATTAACCCCAAGTTCAATGTGATAATTTGAAATATTAAAATTCTTTAGAATAGGAATAATAATAATTTTATAATTAGAGGTCAGACTTATTTTGATAACAAAGATTTATAATATTACAAATATTATTTTCTTCTTCTGGATGCAATCTCGATCATTCGAGTTTAATTCAATTCGGGTTACCTAATTGTTAGAGGTTGATTTTAGGGCCAGTAGACTTGATTTTTAATGGCCAGTAAGCTTCTGGTTCCGAATCTTTCATTGATTTTCTATACTTCTGCCTCAATATCATTGTTCCTAACTATTAAAGATATATTTTTAATTGCATTGCTTAAAATATATAACAAAAATTACTTTGGTTAAAATTGTTTTAACAAAATACTTTGCTTGAAATTTAGATACCATTATTCACCACCTTTGGTTAAAACAACAAAAAATAATTCAAATTGTGTTCGAAAACATATTAATGGAAGATAATGAAAATTTGGAGTAAATTATTTTACAATATTTATTTTTCATTACCTTCCCTAAGAAATAACAATTTTGATGTAGTTTTAACCAAAACTGGTGAATATGGTCTCAATTTAAAGTTAAAGGTATATTTACACCGAGTGGCAATTAAATTATGATCGTATCATAAAACACGTTCAGTGTAAATGCGCCCTAAGTTTCAAACTCTTTTTTAACGGTAAACATACGCTCACAATTGAATTGATTTGTTGTCAGTAATGATGGTTGTTGTTGTTGCTCTCCGTACTCCTTTAAAT